TTATTGAATTTTAATTAAGCTGTCAAATGGAAGTCAATAAAATGTAATAATATAAAAGAAAAATGTAAAAAACCAACTAAAACATAAAAAACTGTTAATTGCTGTATGATTAGCAAAAGTGAGTAATAAAAAAATTTCCAATTTTGCAAATTTGTTTTTGACCATTTCTCTTCTCTTATGCAACTTGAAATATGATATGGAAACGATAAAGATTCGCTTTTCATTCAAAAAACTTGAATAAGTTTCAAAGATTATTCAAAATTATTCGATTTTTGCTTTATTTATTTAAGCACTTACAGTCTTATTGAAAACGAACTGTACTTAATAAAATAATTCTTCAATTCTTCGTTCTCTTCTAGGTTTTGTGCAAAAAGAATCTTGCTTAGTGAAAAGTCTTGAAATACGCAAAACTCTAAAATTCTTAAAATTAGTTTTTTTTTTGTAAATTTTTTAGAATACAAGAAATTTAACAATAAGAAAGAAATCAATAAAATTTTTGCACTTTGCCTTAAGAACGATTTTTAATACTTTCGATTTCAGAAATTTGATTCTAATGTTTACAAATATGAATATGTATATGTATATACATCTGCCCACGCACATTTATAGTTGGGAATTGATTTTATTTTAAAATAATTCTTAGAATTTCAGTCTACACAGGCATATGTACATATAAATTTTTTTACGCATCCACCCATTGTATACAAATAAATTTTTGGTCAATTAAAAAAGACACTAATATTCGATTTTTCTATGTACATACCAACATATATATATACTCGTATATGTTATATGATCAAAAAAAGCATTAATAACAATATGATTAGAAAAAAAAGGTAAAAAAAAGAAGAAAATTCACGGATCAATTCCAATTTATATAACAATGAAGGAAATTAAAGAAATTCACAATGGAAGAAATAAAGGTTCGTGATCAAATACCATTAAAAATTTTGTACACCTCTATATATATAATAGATATATAAGTAAACGAATATAACAATATCCTTTTGAACCAAAAGCTAATAAATATTTCTCTTTTCGAGGTTATATACGATATGGGAAGAACATTATTTTGGACAAATATTTTGACAATTATTAAAATATTAAATTGCAATTCAAATTTTTAAAAATATAAAATTTTAAATGGCCCATAACTTAAACAAAAATTCCTTAAAGAATGAATTTTGTAAAAACTTCTATTGAACAATTTTTTTGGTATTTTTCATTTTATTTAACTAAAACTTGAAACTTTCAAATCAACAAAATATTAATTGTGTTAACATATTAATAATACAAACTTTCCGTAAACCTGACATAAAGCTGAGAAATTCTGTGAAGAGGTATTTTCTTCTCATAATTAAAACTATCAGAGGTTCCATTATTGTGCGTAAAAATTTTTTTTTCGAAATTCAGTTCGTCTAGAATTACAAGCAAATTTAAAATTATGAAGTACCTACAAAAGTCGGACAGATTAATCATAATTTCTACTAATTTTTGTCTTCCAATATTTTACATATTCTACATAATATACGCATATTATTCGTGTGTTCTTGGCTTTTTAATGGTTTTTCTACATATGTACAAATGTATGGTATATATGGCCATTTTTATGCCTATATATTAAAAGATTCGCAAATGTATTTGTAGTCAATCAATTTATAGTGGCAAAATCGTACATTAAAACTTATAAAACCTAAAATTCCCATTACAAATACACTTTGGAATAGAAAAAAAAAAACTTTTTTAGTCTCTCTATTTTATTTCTTCCTCATAGAATTAAGTATCAATATGTTGTTTTTTTTGCTTTATTGATAAAAAGGATGACTAATATACGGCACAGTAGTTAACCTCAGTTTATTATGTTGGTTGTGTTACTTTAATGTACTCAAAAACTTTTATAAAAATTACTCTTTTATTGAAAGGAATTTTCAATTACATTATGAGAATAAATTACTTTTTTTCGTTGTTTTTGTTTTTTTCTGTAGTAGTCAGTTGACTTTCTGTACTTTATCTATAAATGTTCATAAAATCTAGCGAGATTACAAACACAGTAATAGTTAATAATGAATTGATTTTAACTACAATTACAGTGAAAATTGCCAATTTTCGACCTTATATTATAACACAACGACAAGCGTCCTTTTATTCTGTAAATTCAGAAAAACAATAACTGGCTTCATTTACCGCAGTTTAGGATAGTTGAAAACGGAGATGACAAAAACTTTTTTTTTATTACTATTTCTTTTTTTAAATATTTTATATCGTTGTTCTTTTAGAAATCTAGTTGTAGCAATTTAAAATTCTGGTAACTTTTAAATACTAATAAATATTTTATTTTGTTAGAAGAAATTTTTTTTTTCTCCTCCATCTCTTCTCAATTTATCGCATTTTGAAATTTTAAAATTAGAAATTCCGGTTGTTTAATATTTCCGAAATCAGAAGCTCCTTCAAGAATAGTAATTGCCATGCCATTAAAAAATAAAATGATTTATTTCAATTAATACAATTAACCGTCGAATTCAACCATTATGGTAATGCCTCTTTAAATTTTTTGCTTTGTCTTATCCCAAAAATATGCAATAATTTGAAAAATTTCGATATATGAACGAAAATAATTTAAATAATGTAATAGATTGTTTTTAAAAGCAATTTTTTCACATATTAAAAGGAAAAGTACTACTTTGCAAGAATAATATTAATATATGTACATAATATATTACTTAAATTAATATATTAAATTATTATATTTGCAATTACAGGTAAAATTAAAAGAGAATTTTTAAATTTTGTGTTTCACAGATGAAATGTAGTAGAATAAGAAATAAAATTATAAATTGAAAACTATTTCTTCAACTCGAAGATTTCGAAGATACTTTGTATGATGTATATAAATTATTTGAATGGGACTGAATGCCACAATATTTTTCATTGGGAAGTAGTTATATAGCCTATAGATTCGTATTTTCTTATATAAATAAAACATGGAATTAAAAAATAAAATTATTTTCTGCTGCTGCGACTTTTATTTTTTTGTTTACATAAATATATTATTATTTAACTAAAAAAGAATTCGTATAAAATGAAAACTTTTTCTACTTATCGAATCTCATAAAGATTTTTTAATTTGATTAAGAAGAGGAGAGAAAAATAAACCCTTAAAATATTTTTCAACCATTTTTATTTCCTTATCCTCTTTTCTGTGTAATTATATAGAATAAATACCATTTTTATTACACTAAGTATAAGGCACAGTAATGAAATGAAAAATTAAAATAAATATAAATAAAAAAATATATAAAAAATTGAATGAAGAATTTATAAAATTTCAAATACCTTGTTCAAGCAAAACAACATACATAAAAAATATTCTAACTTTTGCCTTAAATTTTATGATTTTAAAAATGTTAGAAGATTTTTTTCAAAATTCACAAGTGCATCAAGTTAGTGTACGACTGAACTACGGGAATTTTTTTTAACTGAAATACTCATGCAAGTGACTACATACTCGAATTTTATAAAGGATTTTGTGAAGATTTCCTGAAAATTTAAAAATACTATAAAATAAATAAAACGAATAATATATAATTCAAATTATACAAACATATGTAAAGGATGAAAAATTTAAAACTCTTTAAAGTTGTTCAATATCACTAGAAATATTAAATTTTACATAATATGTAACTAGCTGATATTTTCATAGCTTGTAGGTTATGTGTGTGAAGAATATATGTGTATATTTATAACACAACAGAACCACATTGGTACTAACATTGCTGCCGCTTTATTAAAGTCAAAATATACAATGCAAAAAATATATAATTGTACCAGTTCTAGTTTGTACGCTAATAAAAGACGTACAAACTAGAACTGGTACATATATATATTATTTTTAATATGGACATAATTTCACGTCTATTACAAGAGAAATTTAAAAGAAATAGAGAAATAATTTGGTACTGATTACTTATTATTGTCCACAAACTATTCAAATTTCAATTAAATTCAAATTTCTAATAAAATATAAAATAGATGTTATTAAATGTAAAAAAATTCAACAGGTTAAAGAAATAAAAATTTAAGTAAAATTTTTAGATTTTTAATTTATTTAATTGTTAATTATTTTAAGATTAAGGAAAAGTCTGTCCGTCCTTATTAATTTTACTCTGTCCGCCTGTTTGCCCGTGTATCTGTTAAAAAACCTTTTACACCTATATTTATTTTAATCTATAATAGAAACTTATTTCCATAAAAGATCTTTTTTACTTATCTCCTATTCTTTAATAGTTATAGCTCTCCAAAGTCATTTAATTTTGACTATTTATTGTATCAATACCATTTTTTGACTATATATTGAAGTTTGACCACAAATATTTTATAAATTCAATAAATTCAGAAAAGTAAAGGCGAACTTCTTCTACCAAAAATCCGAAAAAAATGGCCGTTAATATTAACCGTTACCTAAAATCCATTTTTTGTTTTAATTTTTATTACATTTTTCTTCTAGACTATAAGCGGTAGCAGTCTGCAATTTTAACAGCTTTTAGATATCAACAAATAGTCTATTTCGTTAGAAGAAGATTTTTTTCCACCTCCAACTCCTTTCAAGTTATCTACTTTCGAAATTTGTAAAATTAAAATTTTCAACACCTTATATTTTCAAAACTTCAACCTTTTCGAATTTTTATAAATGCAGAAAGCTAACGTTAAATTCTATACCACTAAAAAATACAATTATTTATCATGACTGACGTAATTAACCCCCTGAATTCATCATTATGTTAACGCTTCTTTAAATTCCTTTTTTTTTTAGCTTACCCTAAATGTATGCAATCATTTAAAATCTTGCGGTAGAAATAAAAGTAATTTAAATATGGGATTTAAGGGCAGAGTTTTCACTTGTTAACTTAAAGGGAAAACTGCTACTTTACAAATCATTGGTTTGACCAAAATTTATTTGTTTTTATATCGTCTTATATAAGATAAAAAAAAAATTATTTTACCTTTTTATAAAATTGCACTCAAATTAAGGATTTTTCCTTTTGTATCCTGAGAGTGTTTTATTTTTTATTCCTTATATTTTTCTTTTGTCTTCTTCACAATCTTCTTCAATAAATTAAAAACAATAATAATAACGGTAAAAGTTCATTTCTTTTTATTTAAATCTGAAAATTTCCTTTATTTTTTGTATTTTTTTTTCACTTTTTTTTTGTATATTTTTAATTTTCCAAGAAAGAAGTAATTTTCATTAAATTTTTCTTTATTTTCTCTTTTAATTTTTTTTTTATTTTTTTTTTTTAGGTTTTTAATTTTCTTAAATCATTTTATTGAAGATGAACACTGAAACACGAAAGAAAACGAGTGATATAACAGCAATTACATTTAATTTTATAAAAATTTTCCAACTTATTTCTACATTTTTCTTTGCACTGCGTTTAGAAAAGAAAAGAAGGGAAAAAAAGAAAAATTTTCTTTAAGTTTTTTATTTTGTTTTTTGTCTTTTTCTTTTTTTATCTTATTTTCCGACTCCGTTCAATACATCGATTTGTTTTTTGTTTTTCCTTTTTTTTTTCAAAACGATCCGAACAAGTGAACACCGAAAACTGAAAATAATTTTCTGAATTCAACTGGTTTTTAAATCATTCTCTTCCTATAGAATTCCAATATTTCCCATCGCCTTGTTTTATTATTTTCTAGGTATTAAAAATTTATTCCTTTATTGTATACATACATACATACAACCATACAGATGTAGAGAAAAAATTTCCGAAATAAATTGTTGTTTTCTGTCAGCTGATTTTTATAAATGTTTTGTTTTTTATTTTTATTTTCCCCGTTATAAATCATAATACAAAAAACAAACTTCATATTTATGTGTGTGTGTGTGTCAATTTACAATTGAAATTTTACTAGGGCAGCTGTAATTTTAGCTATTAGCTGAAATATCCAGTCATTTCCAGTGCACGTTTTAAATTTTTTTTATTGTTATTAATATTAAAATATGGAGAAAAAAAAAATACTGGAAAAAGAATAAATTTCCATTTTGATTGTATACAATTCTACAGGTGTTATAAATTCCGAAAAATTATAATATTTTTATATTCGAAATATTTTACAAAATTCAAAAGAGAGATAAGGAATTTAAGAGAATTTTGAAAACAGAAATTGGACAATCAGATTTAAAATAAAACTTTTATGAATATTTGGTGGTTATTACCGGGAAGATTTATCGATTTGCTACAATCAATTTGCAGTCAGTTTCGGAAAAAATGATTTAAAAATCCATTAAGTAAAAAAAAAATTTAGACATATAAAGCACAAAGGCTGACAGAAAGATGTCAGTGATAAAGCCATGTCTGTCGAAACCTCCTATTTAAACTGGCTTTGATTAAGACAGTAGTATTCAGTTAGTTGTCATAGAGCTTAAAAAATTATTTTAACTAGACCGGGCCATTATTTTCGTTAAAAATTGTTAAGATTAAATGAGTTTTGTGCTAGGTTATACCAATGTTCAAAAGTTATTCAACTATATTTTAGAAATTGTTTCAATTGCAATATTGGAATTTTACATAAAAGGTTTTATTAGAATTCATTGAAATTACATGCGAGTTCTAATGGAGACTGTCATAAAGCTTTAGACTTAAAACTTTATGTTTCAAAAAATATTAAAGTTGCAACACTATAGTTTTTGATACGGGTACCACAAAATTGCCATGGTTGATTTTAACTATAGTCTCGTTTTTTTTTCTTATTGAAAACCCTGTTTGTAATGAAGGGGTTATAACAATGTAATCAAAGATTTTTACTTTACAGTTACAAATTAACGGTTTAATTTTCATATCAAAGCAACATCAACAAGCCTCTCAATCAAGCCCCTGTAATTACCCAGTTTATATTAGTGAGCACATACGATACATGTTTATTGGTGCATTTATGAAATAAATATAAGCCTCATTATATATACCTGTATAGATTTTCGGAGAAAAAAATTTAAATTAGGCTTATGACATTCTTTGCATCTACAATAAGGTTCACATTAACAATTTATACAAAAGAAAAATAATTAAAAAAAAATTAAATTAAATTTCAATCACAGCCACTCTTAAGTCTTAATCATAGTAATTTTTTTAAGCCTTTTATATGGTTCCATCTGTGAAATTTTGCATAATTTTTAGAAAACCCAAAAAATTCAATCCAATTTTTGTATTACAAAGCAATCTCAAAGAGAAAATTATATTAAAAAGGAAATAAAAATTAATTATAAATTTATAAACATGATCTTGATAGCCAACTTTTATACAATATATATTGAGACTGCAAAGAAATTGACTTTGGAAAATTCAATTTAAATTTCTTTTTTTTTTTCTCGGTATTTTCAGAAAGAAAGAATAATATACATGAACATTAAGGATATTAAACCTTTGAAAAACCAAATTACAATATCAAAATGCAACAGGTGTCAAAAACTCATTTTATACTTTTAAAAGTTAACACATAAGTAATAAAAGCAAAAAATATAAAAAATTCCTATTGACTATCAACATATTTTGTGTTATATGTAAGTACATATAATTGGTCTTTGACATTTTGTTATATAAGTGAAATAATGTTATAGAAACATTTCATTTATCAAACTGAAAATGAGAAAGTCCGAAATATGCTTAAAAAACCTACACAGTCAAGAGTGAATTTTGAGATGATATATTCGTAAATTCGAACGCATTCCGCATACATTAGAGAAGTTACCGGTCCATGTAGAAGCAATAATTCCAAAAGAAGTTAATAAAAACTGCAGCTCATGATTCTGAAGAAAATTTTCGACAACCTTAAAAGTAATGCAGTAATTATTAATGTATGTAGCTAATAATAACCTATTCACGAATTTCTACCATTAAATAATTATAAATCACTATTAGTATTAGTCAAATTGGATCTTACTCCCAAAAATATGCAATATCGGATGTCATAAAATTCATTAATTCTCAATTTCTCTCGCTTTTTGCTCTCATAATCTTATTAACCTTTATCAAAACTTATTCTAGTATTAATTATAATATATTCAATAGTGTAATCGGAAATTCCCAATCGGAAAGAACGAAATAATATAGGTCGATAATATACCTCAAAAATGGTTTTTGAAATTAAATTTTATAACCACCTCTCTTAAACTTAAAGAAATTATTGTCGTTTGTGGAAAATTTTCTGCAAAGTAATTACAAATTAGTGCAATGTTCATATTAATTATAAGATCGTATTTTCCTTTAAAATTTTATTTTTAATTATTTTCAGAAAAATTTTGAAAACTAAATCAAATTTCTTAAATTTGATTTGAAATATTAGCGATTAATATCAATCGGTTCTGATCAATCAACAACTAAATAACAGCGGTAAAAAAAGTGGAAAAATTTTGTAGAAAATTTACTTGTAAGAAAAATTAAATTCCACCCTCTGTCGGTTAATGTATAAATATCAATTAGTTGTTATTACTGTATTGAAAATCTGACGTATTGATTGCATAGTGGGGGTAACTTTAATCTCCTTTATTTATTAAATATACACAGGACAACATATTACATACACATTATGTGTATAATGTAAATTCTTGATTCATAAATTTCCATAAATTTATTAAAAAAAATATTTTAATATAATTTCATCTTTTTCTTGCACCAAAAAACAAAAAAGAAAACAAAACCATTATATAAATTAATTATTCGCTCGAATAAATTAATTACAATTTTAAATGATATTAAAAGGATCAAAAATAAAGGCTCTAAAAAATTAATAAATAAGATTTTCAAGTATTTCATTAATTTCATTAATTAATTAATTCTTGAAAATTACTAAATTTATAGAAAATATATAATAAAATTTAAAAAGTTAAATCTACAACATTAATCTAAAAAAATATAAGGATGTTTCTAGGAAGGTCAAATAAAAAGAAAATATAAAAAAAAAAGCTTCTAAATTAATTGAATAAAAATAATTTTTCAGTGTTTTAAAACTGAAGAAATTATTATATAACGAAATAAACCCTATAGACGTCTACTTAAATGTAGATCTAATATCAACTTACTTCATTCAGCAATACAATTTTAATTGCTGAAATAGATTATACAGACTATATGGTAAATAAATTAACTCACCATTGGTACAGTGGTTATGGCACATGTCTTTTAATCGGAATGTCTTTTAATCGGGTTCTAATCCCGGTTAGGTCACTATAAAAAATTATATTCAATATTATTAAAGCATAATATACAATACTTATAAAATAAAAAAAAATTAGTATACAAGCGATTCTCATATATCCGGAATATTCGATATTAAAACTAAGAAAAATAAACATTTGATATCAACAACCTTTAATATTTAATATGAAAAATAAAAACTCAGGCAGCCTAGTCACACTTACCTAGTTAAAACTTGATAACGCAATGATACTGGAGCATAATCATCTATAATATCATGTGCTAGCCCTATGCTCCTCCTTGAAGTAAAGAAGGAAGTGCATATAGGACTACTCTTCATATTATATGTAAGAATGAAATTTCGAAGAGTGTTTTTTAGAAACGATTAAGTAGAGAATAGGCACAAATTTTGAATTGTTTTCATTTTTTCCCATATTTCGATTCTCATTAAATTTGTTTGAGTTAAGAATTTAAAATAAATTAATAATAGCGACACAATTTAAAATGTACATACAGAAATATGTTCGCCTGTCTTACTCAATATGTATACAAAAAGTATGCAACTTAAAAAATTTTTTGATTTCTCAATTTTAACTAAAAGAAAATTTTTTCTAAAATTTCGATTTAAAGTTAAATTATAATAGTTTTGTATACATATTTGTGTGTATAATTTATTTATTGCTTATATTTTTGATATGCTGCCAATTCCTATCAAAGGATATGTTTATCAATCTCAATATAATTGAATTAGATTTGTAGATCCTTTTGCAAATACATATAAGCGATACAGGAATTTAACTTGTAAAGTTTTATTAAATAAAAAGGATATTTTCTATATTGTCATACACAGGTAAATCTAAATGTAATATGTATATGTACATAAATTATAAATATTCAAAACATTTTTTTTTGTTTTGTTAATCTAAGCTGATTTGAATACGCATACACAGTTATTCGAAAAAAGGATATGCAAAAAAAAAGAAAATTTTCTCTCATATCTGTAAATATGTAAAAAATGCGTAAACACAAGAATTTTTTTGTTTTATTTTTCATTTTTATATAATATACATATGTACATATTGTACTACAGCAGTTGATTTACAAAGTTAATTTTATTTTTTTTTTTAGCACAAAATTTTCAAAGATTGCAAAACTATAAAGGTTTTAAAATTTTTTTGTAATTTTATGTGAAAAATCTTTTGTATAGTAAGTCTATGTGAAAATAGAATTATTACAGATTGGAAATTTTATACCAGCCTCTAAGTAGTTCAATTTTAGTTGACTCTCAAAATAAATTAAAATAAAAACCTCATTTGTTAACGAGAAATTTACGTAAATTTTCATAAAAAAGCGTTCATTTTTTAAAAGAATTAGAGACTTATTCGAAAATTAATTGAAATGTATGAATTTTTTATAAAAAATTAAAATTCAAACTCAATGGAAATTGATGCTAAACCTTAAATAAGTATTTTTTACAAATTAGTTAAACCATAGAATTGCATATTTCCTATTAGCCATCTTAATTTTTTTATTTTATATACTTCCATATTTTATTCTCATTCGGGTCTGTATTTTATAAACGTGACAGATTACATTAAAATATGGAAGAAAAAAAAAAAAAACTTACATGAAAACATAAAAAATATTTTTGTATATAGGAAGTAATAAAAAATTCATTGCATATATTTAGGAGGTGATGGTAATTTCCTTAGACTTTAATATTAATATGTATTCGCCTAAAGTATTTACTTTACGTTTATTTATTATGAGGATTCTTTGAGTTATTATTAATTTTATGTTATTTTCTTATATGAATAATTCTTTTTTTAGCACTTTTTTTCAATAAAACTGAAATTGCTTAATAATTTCACTTTGTCCGTTGTCTTTCGTATCAATCAATATGATCGTGCATCTATTCACGAAACTTGCACACTTTATGAGAGAGAAAACTGAAATTTTATAAACAAATAAATTTTCACGAGAAACTATTTTTTCTATCTTTAACAACTTCCTTCGTAAAATAGGGTATTTAAATATACAATTGTAAAACGGCTACTGAAATTAACCGTTATTGTAATATTGTTATTGTCTCAAGTGGCAAAGCATGTACTAGCCTAAAATTTAGAATCTTTCAAACATCCTCTCTTTGAAAATTATCGACTAACGAAATTCGTAAATTTCAAGGTTTCACCCCTTTATTTCTGGATCCAAACTTTAATACAAGAATTAAGCAAACGATTAATGTCCTGTTTATCTTAGCTGACACAATTAACTGTTCAATTTAACAGTTTGATTATTGAATGTTTTTTTTAAATTTTTGTTTTTTTTTTCTCCGAAAAGTATGCAATAATTTCTTTTTTTTAATAATAAAATATTACTATAGCAAATATATTATCAAAAATTTAAGTAAAAAAAAACAATGTAGGTGCCTAAATTCATCTGTTCAACGAAAAATTGCTACTTTACAAGCAATTGGTTTGATCCAACTTAATTTTTAAATTGAGAAGACCCGCAGCAAAAATAAGCAACAGGTGGATTTTCTATTGTTGTTTTACAAAAGTTTATTGTTTATGTTTTTTTTAGCATAATTTTGTTTTCTTTTTTTTTAATAAAAAAATATTATTTTACATGTTATTTTACATGTATGTATGTGTAGGTGTACAAATATATTATTATAATTTTTATCTGTATTTATTTATCCTCATATTATTTACTTATATTATGTACATATATAAGGAACGAGGATTGAAGTTCTTGTTATTTTTAGCATAAAAATTATGAATTCTCTGAAAATAGAAGTCAGTTTTAAAAATATCTATTAAATCATATTTTTAACGACCAGAGAGCGTTCTTTAAAAAATTTACTAAAAATATCATAAATAATGAAATGTTACATCATCTCCATTTTCAAGTATATTTAATTGAGCCATTTTGTAACATTTTGCATCCCTGACATTATTATTTTCGTGATAATATTTTATATTTTTGTTTAGTGGTTTTTTGACTTTAAAAATTTTATAAATAAAAAATAAAATTGTTGGTGTTTATTGATATTAGCGTTTTAAGCAAATATTTGTTATGGCTAATAAGTGGTGCATATTTGAATTATATGAACTTCCTTTAGATATTTATTTGATTGTCCCAAGAACCAAAATTGAAAATTCCATGCGAAATCATAGTTCAAATTGAAATGCGATTATCACACCTATTAATTATGTTAGAAATTTCATACATAATTACAAAATTTCAATTCATAATTATTTTAAAAAATTCATAAATAATGAAATTATATTATTAAATAATTTCATCATTCCGAGACCGTTTCTTTATTTATTAAACAAATTATTATTGTACCTCAATCAATGATCATTTAAAAATTTAATATTTCGATTTCATTTTTACAAAATTTAGCTATACAGTAGAAAAGATCTGTAGGGGAGTCTATAACAGGATAAATTTTAAGAATTTTATATTAATATAGCAAAATAATAATTTTATTGTCAATAGCTATATTAAAATAGATAATTTCTTGTTATGGTAGTAATTTTAGATCAATTGAAAATATTTATTCGGAACACAAATAATTAATGTAGTATGATAAAATAATTATCTATTATATTTATCACTATCAAAAATTATTTATCACATTATTGAAATATTAATGAAAAGTTTGATTTCGGAAAAATTGTTTAAAAACAAATATTTTCTCATTAAAATTTAAGGAAAAATTGCAACACATTTATTATTTATTTTCCATACATAATATTTATACGAGATTAAGTAAAATTAATTTTTACGGTGTGATCATAAGTCCTCTCAACATTTTTTTTATAATTTTTTACATTTATTATTAAAGAACATCTTATTTTATTACGAATACGAGTATAACAAAATATCTAATAAAATTTTCGATATACAAGTAAAAATCTAAATATTTTTCACGAATAAAATTATAGTATTAAATTTAATATTAAATAAGAAAATATTAAAAATAATTCCATATTCTATTCTAGGTAATATTAAATTTGTTTTACTTCTTTTATATATAATATTAAAATGTCTTTTATGAAAATTTTTTTTACATTTTACACCATTCATATGTTTATCCTATATTTAAATTTAATTCAATTTAATATTATACAATGGTGCTGCAGCATCAAATTGTCAAACATCAAAATTAATAAAATTTATTATTGAAAAATCTAATAACCTTAAAAAATATTAGAAAATATTATATTAAAAATAAAAAAGAAAATTCTTAAAGAGTAAACCTTAAAATGAAAATAAAAATTTAAAAAGGATTTTCATTTTATATTACACAAAAATTGAATTGATATGCTTAATAAAATATTTATGTTTGTACGTATGTAGCTAGATAGGTATGTTTAAGTAACAAATTTAGTTAAACTCAAAGAGTTGAATGAAAGTAAATTTGGAATTTGACTTTATAAAAGAAATTATATAGAAAAATATTTTCATGTTTTCAAAAGTATAAGATTTTTAATATTTAAATGCAAATACGATTATTGAAACAAAATGTAAAACTATTCCTATTTCAGTGAATTATTTTTGAAGATATTATGAGAAATTATGAATAAATATTAAATATCTAATATATAAACAATATAATATAATATGTAACACATAATATTTAAAAAGTATAATCCATATGAAAATTGTCTCTAATGATCTCATAGTTATAGCATAAAATTTATTAATTGTATTAATTATGAGTATACGAACAGGATTATTTTTCAAAATTTTCGACATTACATCCGAATTCTAAGTTACATATATTACATTTATTATTATTTAAAGCTATATGTTTTATGTGAAATTTATAATTTTTATTATGGCTAAACTAAAATTTTAATAATTTGGAATTACTCGAAAAAAAAAAACTTTCTATTTACAACTATAATTAGTTAATGAAAAATTACAATTAAAATTACTTCTAACAATTCATAGCATTTATAAATTAGTAAAATATGATTATTCGAATCAGATTTTAGAAATATGCAAAGTTTCTCTCCACTAACTTCCTAATACTTTCGTTTACCGTGCTTCATATTTATTGTTATATCCGTGCTGCATTAAAAATAATTGGTTTACAACATACATACAATAATAATAATTATTTGTATTTGAATACTTTATTAAAAATCAAAATTTAAAAATTAAATTTAGTAGAGGAATTCAAGTATTAAGACTTTAAAAGTTGAATTACTCAAAAATTTTGTATGTTTTACTATTAAATAATATAATTTTATTTTGTACATATGTATATGCATATTCGTACTACTAATGATATCAAAAGATTCTTTAAATTTAATGTGATAAAGAATGATTTTCAAGCCATTATCTTAAAATATTTTCTATTTACCTTAAAAGCTTTGAAAAAGAGTAAAAAATTTTTTCTGCGCAAGTTCAAATTTTTCGAAAAAAAAAGAAACATTTTTCTTTCCAATATTCTCTATTCCAAGTTTGATGAAAAATTCTGTTTTCCAATTTAAATTCTTCAACAAGTGGATGTTACATTAGCGCATAATGACTGTAATATATTTTTTATATAGGTAATATTTTTATAACTCTACATAAATATAGTAAGTATAACTAATTAGTACCGCAGATAAAAAATGTGTAAAGTTATAATATGTATAAAGATAATATTATGAATGCTAATACATACATATATTTTTGCGTACATAATTGTTATATCATAATATGTAATAAATACTTGTTCAATTTTTAATACTTGTGATAGACAGTATAAATACATAGCTGTGATAGCTAACATTCGGCAACCTGCAATATCCATGTTTACATTTATATATTACAGTTAACTGATATAAGTATTCAAATTTTGGAACTGTGATTTTCCATAGATAAATTTGTTATTATTGAAACACTTTCAACATTTTATAAAAAAAAAAAGTTTTTTTGTTAAACGGTACGAATTTTTTTATTTTACTTTAAATTTAGTAATAAAACTAATCAAGAAAACCAGAACTTATCTTTTTAAAACCACATCAAAGAAAATAATATTAATAATATTGTTGTCAATTTATTCGATATTTTTAATTTATCTATTATTTTTACAATAAATAAGAACCACATAATTTTAGTATACATTACAATCGTTTGCATTCATACATTAAATTTAATTTTTTAATATCTTTATCACTCATTTTATCACGCTGGCCAACTTGTATATCTTCGTCCAATGATTCAATAGTTTTCATACCATTTTTCGAAAATGCATAAAAACTGTAATGCATTATACTATCTGTTTATTATAGAGAAATAAAAGAAAATAATTTTAAATTTTTTTTTTAAATTTTCTTTTCTTTTCTTACCATAATCATATGAAATTTGATAGTCTGAAACAAAACTAGAATTATACTTAAAAAAATTTGAATGTTTTCCCTCAGAAATATTTTCATCAACAATTTTAATATATAAATCTCGATCGGCTGCACTTTGTTGATGATAAAATCCAAGAGCATGTATCATTTCATGTATTATTGTTCCCAATCGAAAACAACCTGTTCCAACTTCATATGGCTTCAAATTCAAAATTTGCATACCACCTTGTCGACCGACACTTGAATAACAGCCCTCAGTTCTACCCTACATTACAAACATATATATTATAATATAGATTAAAACTAAAAATTACACTTAGATTTTATATACAATATAATTTTAGATGAATTAAGCTGTAACTTACTGTAATGTTTACATAGTCATTAACATCCTCTGACCAAGGATAAAAACGGATACATGTTTCAGAAGAAATTGTACGTAAACCTTTCAGAATATACATAACTTGACTTTCATCTATGATATTATGTAAGCAAGTAAAAATTTTAAATCATATTAATAATCTAAAATTGAAAAAATTCACTTACTAAAATATTTCTTATCAATGAAATAATAAACGGCTCTGTTGGGCCAACGATATTTTTCATTTGAGATACCATTACGTGTTTTAGGATTTACAATACTCTCTAATTGATTAGGATTTAAATTCATATCACCTTCAAAGTAGTTTCCATTTTCATCAAAGTTAATTATTTTATCGTTTCTTTCAATTGGTAAAGTATATACTGCAACCATAGAAATCACCATTAGAAAATATATATTTGTTAAAACCATTGTCTCATTAAATGTTCTTAATAGCTTTATGAAAATGGTAAATGTTACAATGGAATTCTGATATTTATAGTAATTTCTTATCAATTACACATACTTAAAAAGGCTTTAAGTGGATATGACACGCGAATAATAAGTATATTATCATTCGCAGAAACACTAGGAGGCTACATAAGTACAAAGCGCTTTCTAATATTGATATGTATGTCATTGTTATTTTATTTGATAACATTATAAAAATAATCCAAAGAACAAAACTTTAGAATCAAGGCCGATTATCGAAGATTATATGTTAGGGCCCGTTTGAATTTTTTATATAGAATAAAGAATTTTCAACATACAAAGTATATACTTAAGTATATAATTAATTTGACCCATTAAAGAAGAAGCATTTAAAAAATTTTTGTACAAAATGTGTGTGAAAAATAAGTATCAACATTATGCATATAAATTTCTTAAAGCTTATTTCTAATTTTCTCTTCATCGTAAATTTTTATATCTTCTTAATTTCTAAATGTTCGAATCAATTCTGAAATTACATTAATTACGCAGCTTTTCTAAAATTCGATAAAACTTATTTTGTTATACTGAAATTTAAATTCTCAGTTATTTTTTATTAAGTTCATTTTTTATTTACTAATATCTTTTATATACATGCCATATCAAAAATTTACATAAGTATGAATGTATATTTATGTATATCGAGTTATCTTCAAAATTTTGCATATGCTTAACAAGTTAATTTTATAACAAATTAAAAAAAAATTAAACTCTTAATAAAAATAATCGTGTTTGACACGTAATTACACTTATTTTCTATTGTATTTTGCCATTAATGAAATATAATATATTAATCTATGATTTTGCTTATATTTACACACTATTTCTTTGATTAATTTGCAGTTGATATTTACCTTAAACGGCAAACTTGAGTTTACAAAAAATTCATTAATAAAAGTAAAGCCATTACAGAATCATATAAACACCCAAAAATTTTGCAAATCTTTAAATACAAAAGCTCTATAAAAAAATTAATTATTGTCATTCTTAGCAATATATTGTTAGTAACAATTAAATATCCAAAAGCAATAACAAAATATTTTAACATTTTCAACTTTTGTTATTAAATTTGCAAAATTATTGTGTTAAAATTATTAAGTGACAATATTTTTATACATTTAGTGAATTATTTAACTAAAAAATAAAATGTTTAAAAAAAATAACAACATGATTTTGAATGATATAGGCGCCTTAAAGGAACTATTCAAAATAGAGTACAAAACTCAATAAAACTAGGACAAATTTTATACATACATGATTGAAAATTTTAAACTTTATAAATGATTTCTGTAAATAAAAATTATTGCCTATTTTTGTACGTACAAAATATTATGTAAAAAACACATTTACATTCTAATAAAAAAAAATTGTAATACACATAACGCAACAGAACAAGTTTTTTAGTCTTTTAAAATATTTTAATTTTTTACAATATCGATTCAACTAAAATTTCAAACAAACATGTACTATTTAAACAATTAATATGTAATGTACCTTATAATACATATGGATATTTGCGAGAATGTTTATAAAACAAAATTGACCTAAAAATTAATAAAGCTATCAAAAGCAATAATGAAAAAAAAAAAATTAAAAAAATTATTGAAATCGGATTTATTTTCGTGATTAGCAAAAAATTTTGAATTTTTATATTTCATTAAAAAAAATTAAATTGTTCGTTACAAAGCAACAAACTACAAACATTTTATCAAATTAATAATCTAGCAAATAAATTATCGATTAACTTATTTCTTTTATAGAATTTTATTTTTGTGTAGGTACATATACATTTTGTAATGATACGTTTTTCAACATTTTAAACAAAATAATCTTTTTGCTTATAAATTAAACAAAACCATTATTGCTCAGCAGTTCAATACTTAAAGTCTTTTTTTCGTTAAAATATTTTAAGTTTCTTTTTTACAGTTAAAATAATTAACTATTCAAAAAGTATATACAATTTAGTAAACACTTGCACCCATTGTTTTCCTTATGTACTCAAATGATAACCAAAATGTTAATGACCAAGGTGCCATACGTATCCAGCATGGTAAAAATCCCTTGTATAAAGCAAAAAACCCTTCTTTACTCACAGTCTGTATTAAACAATCGATCGATCCTTTATAAAGAAGGCCCCTGAAATTTTAAAGCAAAAGTGATTATGAAAATTTTTTCATATATTCAGTATTAAGGTAATAAATTTTAAAATTCCCTAATAATATAATTTGTACTACATAATGCAATAAATATACAAATGTATTTATTGATCATAGATAGAAGTATGATGTATCTTTGATAAATTTTATTTAAATTTAACAATTCAACTGCCTAAACTAGAAAACTATAATTAGAACAATACAACGATTATTAACATATTTATTAACTGTTAGATACGGATTTTATTTTTCTATTTGTTGGTATAAATCTGAATCTAAAATTCAAACCCATATTCCCGAAATTTAAATTTGAAATATTCCAAAAATTCATTTGAAATATTCCATAATTCATTTTATACTATTTTAAACTGACTTACCTCCCGTTTTTATCGGTAGGTTGATTCATTATACGTGTTTTAACTACATCCGCAGGAGTTCCCAATAAAGCTGCAGCACATCCAGCACACATTGAGGATAATATATGAACAGTGTGACAGTCAGGCATATTTAACCCAGACATAATTTTACCTTTCGCAATGTCATATGTGGTTAGGTCACCTAAAAATTAAAAAAATTGTAATATGCACATATACATATGTAAGTATATAAGAAAAAAATTTATAAAAATAATTTCTAACCTAAATTGACCAAAGCGGCTCTTTGAACATTGGGTATGCTTCCTTTCCACAAGCCAGCAATACCTCCTCGACTTACAACTTCTTTGACTGCATGCATAGTCCCGTGAACTCTAGGCTCTAAACCCATTAGACGTCGTTTCCCCTCCATTTGAATTTGCACTTTTACTAAATCTGCAGGTGACGATAGCCATTGACCTAAAGCACCAGCACTAACACCACATAGCGCGGACTTCCAAAGTGGTAATCGGGCATTTTCAGTTGCTCCAAATTTTTTTCGCAAAGCATCGTACGTACAAATGCGAACCCCGCTTTATATTATTTTATATTAAAAATGTTATCCCAAAATAGTTTGAAGAATTACCTGTATACAACATGCCTTAGCACTGCGGGGGTCATACCTTGCCATAATTTTAGAGGACCCTCCTCTTTTGCAATTCCAAGAGCAGTAGCAAACATTCCCCTTCTAGGAGCCTTAATGTTAAAGCCGAATTAATTAAATAAAACGTTACAATTCCAATGTTAAATTACCGTTGATAATCCATCTTTTATTTTAGCTGCTGCTGCTTCCCCTTGGATTTGTAATCTAGTTTTTGTTAAGTCTAATGGATACGTTACTAAAAACAAAATATGTAAGTCTCAATTTAAGTTTTAATAGAAAAAAATTTTCAACGAAACTATATGTAAATTGAAAGATTTAATTATTTAGTCTATTTTTATACTCTAAAATTATCCTATACAATATCACAAATTTTTGTCGTAGTATATGCTGGTATACATTTATATAGCACAATTTCAAATATGATTAACATAATCAAAGAAAACTAAAGATTTAGGTTATAAATTAAAATTTTTCTTTTTCGATTAGATAACCAAATCTTTAAATAAAAAATTATTTTGTAGGTAGGTATATTAAATTTACAGTTTCATTGAGTTTATGAATTTAAAGAGAATCCTCTTTACCAAGTTCTGCATTACATGCTGCTACTATTGATACAATATATGTAAAAACAAAAGAATCCGCATAATTGTATCTTACAGGTCGCATTTGATTTCGAGTTGATTGCGAGTTTTCTGGTGCTATTTTCTGCATTTTTCTTATATTCTAGGAATCCAAAAATTAATTAAACTGAAAATAAATAATTAATTAACACTATTCGGTTAAGCGCCGATTTTTCATTTAATACGTACCCAAAAACACAGTATAAAATTTGAATCCGAAATTCTATATTACACTCATCTTCAGTGGACTTCAAATGATTGAATAATTAATAGCCTTTAACAAAATTTCCTAAAAAAGTAAAATTTATTATATAATTATGCTAAATCGTCATAAGGTACAAAAAAATCCATTTAAGCAATTACTAACTGATTACAAAAAATTAACACTCAAATTTGATATGTAAACAAAATTTGGCAATTTGTTGGGGATCAAATGTGTCGAAAGTCCATGGCCACTTAATGACGTTGATTTTGCTTTTATTTTTGGCTTTTTGTATTTATTTTTCTTTTTTAAATGATAAAGAATGTGTGATTTTCTTATTAATACAAAACAAAAATAATAAGAAAAGTTTGTTATGAATCCAATTTTGTAGGTAATTAGAAAATTTGAATTATCGGAGCTTATCTTTAATATCAAAAAAAAAAAGGTAATATAATTGTAATAAAATTTTTTTAACTTTAAATGAAAAAATTAAATTATTAAAATATCTTTATGACGACGAACTAATAAATATTAAATAACACTGTCAACAAATCGTGATTGAAAAGACCAAAACAGAAAATAATAATTAACAGAGCACGAGTTGTTGTTTTCATATTCGTTTATCATTTATATAAAACATAAGAAGAAAGAAGGAGGGACGAAGATTTGATAGCAACTGTCAAATTTAATGTCAAAAATCAGTTGAGCTAAAATGTCAAAAAACACAATTTTCAGGGATGAAAATCAAAATTTTTGAGAATTCGACATGCGATTAACAATTGAATTTTTCATCAGCTTTTTTCTCTTAACTTCTTTGTTGTCTTTAATAAATTAACTTTTGCACAACTTGTTTCTAGTTACCAAAGCTATAAAATGAGTAATATCAAAATAAATATTTAAGAATGATAACAAACATGAAAATTAAGAATAAAAATTCAAGAACTTTTTAAAATTATCACTTAAAGTTACAAATTAATTTAGCAACAAACTATTTTGTGCTTCATAATTTAAAATCTAAGAAAATTAGAATAAAAATTTCAAACCGAAATCCAACTCAGAAATATTAGTTCATTAACATTTTTATTGCATGAAAACAATTCAACGTCATTATTAAATAAATCTCGAAAGTACAACGGAGAACTTATTCAAAAGAGTTTTTAGGTACGGATAAAGTGTATAATTACTTACAATTCGCAATCAGGGCGTTTTTAGTGTGTGAGCGACGAAATCCTGCTCTCTTATTTGAAATTGGTTTAATATCATAAATTTTGTGAAGCTTCCTCATTATTAACTTCAAAATAGCTTCCTTTGAAAAAATTTAGATCGTTTGCTAGGCACTCAGCTATTTCTTTACTCCTATTTTACATTTTTAGGATAGTGTATAAATAACATATACTATTCTCAAATTGCAAAAGTTTTTTACTACTATTATTCCAAACTGGCAACACTTTTCAATTCATCTTCACAAATCACAAAGTATAGTAAGACAAGATCATCCGTACAATTAAAATTAACTTTTTTTTATAATACATTATTTACTAAATAGTAAAGACAAATTTCAAATTTATAAATCCAAATAATAACGAAGCATTTATTTATATTTAGCAAATGTATTTCAGTATTTTTATATATATATGCATAAGTAATAGAATATAAAAGTGATAAAAAAATTGGTGAGTACTTACATACATGCATACATTTGTATGTACGTATCTTCATATTAAGTTCATATGAAACATACATGCCCTTTATTCATTCATCATCATTTCACAGAAAAAATTTTGGTATTTAAAATTTTGGAAATTTGCTTGGTATGCAAATTTCTATTTCTAAATTGATGCATCATTATACAATTTTCTTTGAATTTAAGTTTGAATATCTGTTAAATTATCCAATTAATATACTTTAATGTGTCTAATCATTTCAGACATCGCTTGACAAATGTAGCTAGAGATGAGTCGTTCGGATAAGAGTGCTGATGAAAACTTACTTTGGTTTCATGGTAAAATTTCAAGAGAAAAAGCAGAAGAAATATTACGTTCAGGTAAGTTAGAGAGACCTTGCTTTATTTCAAGAAAGAGTTTATTAAATTGGAATTTTAATACCAACATATGCTTTTTCAGAAAACCGCAATGGAATTTTTTTAGTTCGTGAAAGCAATACATCAAGTGGGGATTATGTTTTATCTGTTTTCTTTCAGGTACAAGCCCATAATAATAAATAAGATATATATGGGTTGATTAAAAATAAATTGAATATTTTAGGAAAAAATTTGTCATTATCAAATAAGAAGACATGGAGAGGATGCCTTTTTTTCCATTAAAGATGTAAAATTTCATGGCTTAGAAACTTTAATAGAATTTTATAGAAAATCTGCAGATGAGTTAGAAACGCAATTAAATGAATTTGTTAAAGGTGTGGATATTTTAATTTTACTATATTCTCTATCTCTATTTATAACATTGATTAATTTTCAGGACAACCCCCACCGAATGATTCCCGAAGCCACGGACGAACAAATTTACTTCATCGTGCAACCAAAGAAAATAATAAAACCATTGTTTCAGAACTTTTAAAATGTGGTTATAGAAATTTCGATGCCAAGAATCAAAATGGACAAACTGCACTTCATGTTGCATGTATCAATAGTTCCGAAGAAATTTTAAAATTGTTAATCAATGTTGGAGCAAATGTTAATTGCAGAGATACTGAAGGCAATACACCATTGCATGTAAATATTTTAAAAATGTAATTTAATTAAGATTTTAAAACAATTTTTTTCTGGTTTAGTATGCTTGTAGAACAAAATCTGTTAGTTTTATTAAGACATTAATTAATGCTAAAGCCAATATCCATATACGAAATATAACCACCGGATACGTTCCATTACATGATGCTGCAAAATCTGGAAACTTAGAAATCGTAAAATTGCTCTTAGAATTAGATGCTGCTCACTTAGCTAGAACGAGTAGCGGCGAGTTTCCGTTAGATTTAGCTATTGAAGCAGGTCATCATGATGTTATAAATTTACTAAAAAACTACATTCCTAAACCACCTAACACTAACAAAGACCATTGGTATCATGGGACTTTATCAAGAGATGAAGCAGTTCTTCTACTGAATGAATTTGCTGAAGAATGTAGAAAACGACCAAAAGAAAATAATTGTTCTGATTCAAACGACAAAAATGATCCTTCAGGACTATTTTTGATCAGATTTTCTAACAGAACTGGTTATGTTCTAACATTACTAGCAGATAATGAAGTCAGAAATTTTAAAATACAACAATATGTAAGTGAAATTTTTATAGTTGAGGAAATGGAATTAAAGTAAACTCAAAATTCTTTCTAGTTTTCGCACACCCATCATTTTTATATAGACGAAGGACCTTATCTGCCTTCTTTAGAGCATCTGGTGCAACATTATTCGACTTATTCCGATGGTTTACCTGTAAATTTACGTTTGCCAGTCCCGCCAAAACCAAAACCACCATTACCACAGTTTTCTACTATGCCGAAAGCTTCCTCCAAAAGATATTTGGGCCATAAAACATCAATAGGTAATCTTTCAGCTGATACGCCGTATATACCTCAAGCGATCACATCTCCTCATCCTGGAGACGATGCAATGAATAGAGTTGGTTTATTTGAAGGGGGTGTTAGTCCCCCGCCACCAATTAATTATAGTGAAGGAAATTTTCAAACTAATAGTGTAGGGAGCATTGAGAAAAAATTAAAAGACAAACGCGACATGACAATATTTCGTAGTTTTAAGCCTCGCTCACAAAAAAAAAATTACCTCGTAGATGGCGTACGTAGTTTGAGGAAAGCAAAGTTAAAATCACCAAATAAACATGAACAACGAAAACTATCTCATGACGAAAAGATGTTGCAAGGAAGTAGTTGCCTAGATAAAGATGATCCTGAATTAAGCATTAAACGTATTGAACCACTTATGAAAAATTTGTGTTTTTCGACAGACTTTATTAATAAATCAGCTTGTGAAAGCTTTTATAACATACCTAAGAAGAGTTGTTCTATTGTCGATATAGACATTGGAGAAAATGATATTAACAAATCGAACTTCCCAAAAATTGATAGAATCAACGCAAATATTCAAGAAGACTCGAAACCTGAAGAAATAGAGGAAAATTATTATACAAAAAGTGATAAAATGATAGAAATGGAACGAAATGAGGGAATTTCTAGAAACGACCAATATTTTATTGACGCTCCTCCACCAATTAATATGAAGTGAGTATTAGAATATATATTGTAAAAAATATGAATATTTTGTAAATATTTTATGTTTTGATTTTATTTGTTGTTAATATTTTAAGAACCTATCCTCAAACAACAATCAACAACTCGAATTTGAAATGCGATCCATCTAATAATACATCTCCTGCTGATTATGTTCCTACTGTAGATGTCCGACAATTTATAGATGGACTGAGCCGTTTCAATTCATCTCCAAAAAACTTAGATGAATCTTCAGCAGAATTACGAGAACTATCTAAGCATCCGGAAAGATTAGATTCTATTATATCAAACGCCAGTACTGCTAGTGAAATTACCCACTTTTTAAATCGACAGAATAATTCTAACCAATTAGCCAATCCTGAAGTTAAATCAAAATCCAACTATTTCATTCCTAGTGAATGCTTAGTATTAAAGGAAATAATAGGTGAAGGTGAATTTGGTTCTGTTTATCGAGGGTATTTAGTACAGCAAGGGTCGGGAAAAAATGTTGAAAGTGGTTTAAGCTCTATTCGATATGAAGTAGCCATCAAAACTTTACACGATGATTGTCGTATGAACAAGCAAGAATTTTTACGTGAGGCATCTGTCATGATAAGACTGCAACATCATTGTATTGTTAACTTAATTGGCATTTCTAAAAGTTCATCTAGCTTAATGATGGTTCAAGAGTTGGTATCTCTTGGTTCTATGTTACAATACATAATACAAAATACAAATAAAATAAATCCGAATTATGAACTAAAATTATGGGCATCCCAGATTGCTTGTGGTATGCATTATTTAGAGTCCCAACATTTCGTTCACCGTGATCTAGCAGCCAGAAATATCTTATTGTCTTCAAGAAATCAAGCAAAAATTAGTGATTTCGGCTTATCAAGAGCCATTGGTACTGGAAATGATTGTTATCAAGCTAGTCAAGGTGGAAAATGGCCAATAAAATGGTATAAAATAATTAAAAAAATAATTGTAAAATAAACATAATTTAAAAAAATTTAAGGTATGCACCAGAAAGTTTTAATCATGGGTATTTTTCTCATGCAAGCGATGTGTGGTCTTTTGGAGTTACCCTGTGGGAAATGTATTCAATGGGGGAACCACCATATGGTGATATGAGGGGTGTTGATGCAATAAAATTGATAGAAGAAGGAAAACGGTTATCTCAACCGGCATTATGTCCCGATAATGTATATAAAATAATGGAGCATTGTTGGAATTATAAACCAAAAGATCGACCTACATTCCGTTATTTAACCGAATTTTTTGCTAGTGATCCTGATTATCAAAATATTTTGGAATTAGTAAAAAGTGAACATATAAGTTAAATTAATTTTTTATGTAAAAGGTGAACATATAATACAGTTATGTTTTTATTTAAAAATAAATATCAAATGTGTATGTTAATATTTTATAATTTTAATTTATATTTGTTAATTAATTTTATGCAAAACAATTATATGTAATCCAATCCATACGTATAGTAGCTGTGAATTTTTTACACAAAAAAAGCAAAGCAAAAATTTACATTTTGTTAATCTGAATCGTATTTAAAAGTCTAGCATTCAAAATGCCATAAAAGTGTGTAAATTTTTGAAAATTAAAAATAATTCTATTTTTTTTTTTTGTATTTCATTTTCAGTTATTTTAGCTAGATATTAATTAATAATTATGAATAAATTCTATAAATTAAATCAAAATTTTTATAATGAGAAACAATATTATATAATAATTTGTACCTATCTTTCTATGAAAATAAAAAAATCGTATATTTTGAACCATTTTTTGTATACAAAACTTTTGTATTTTTATAAAGGTTACAAATTTATTAATAAATAAGTTTATAAAATAAATTAAATAATGAAATTCTTTCAATACTAGTCTTATCTTCTATATCTTCTCTATATTCTCTATATTAATATAAGTAAATATTAAATCTCTGTATATCCTAGCAGTTTAAATGTCTTGAAATGTGGCGATATTATAAATTTTCGTAAAAAGGTGCAATTTAATACATTATCTACTAAAATTGGCAGTCTCTGCAGTGTAACATGTAGTCCTAATATGTAGAAACTCCTAGAATCATAGTAGTTCCAAAGGCATTGGAATTGGAACCAAAGAAATACTTATTAATTATTAACATGTACCATGGCATACAAAAGCAAAGCAGTGCATAAATTTATTGACAGTTGTGACGTCATGGGACTCGATACTAAAAAATTATATAAAAGAAGTTATACCACATGGATATCAAAGAAAAGTTAATTATTTTTAATTAATTTTGTTTTCAAGTTTTTTGTTGTATTCGTATTCAACTAAATAATCTCATTTTGATATACAGATTTTTTACATCTACGCAATGCCGAAATAATTTTTGATTAATGTAAGTGGTGCTCTAAAAGTTATTTACTTGTATTGTTTTAGCCCCTTTTCTGAAATTTTATCTACACACGTAAAATTAAAATTTTTAAAAATTGCATTCTTTAATAATAGCACAATTATTGAAAATCAACTGTGTTATATTTATTAACATCAATATATATGTTAAAATTAATACAATTTGCGAAGAGATTAGATATAAACAAGTCGTTTATTTTAACATATACTTTGACGTTGTCAAAAAATTACTTTGTTATTTTTTAATTTTTAATAGAGTTATTTTAAAACTAGCTTCGGCTCATTATTACATAAAATAGCTAATTAGCTGAAATATTTTTTAATATTTGTCTCGGGATGAGGCGTATTTTTTAAATATTTTTATATTTTGTTTTCATTTTTATAATTCTAAAATAAAATGTACATAACAACTAAAATACAAAAGTACTCGATTAGTTCAAATGTCAGCCGTTAATAAATATTTTCTATTCAAAATAAGACAAATTGCTTCCTCTGGTATTCTTATTTCACTTCTATTTACATTAACTGATGTTTAAAACAAATTGTCAAACTATTTCAATAAAAAACAAACAAACAAAACAGTTAGTACATAGTTAAGTTATTCTAATGTCATAACAAAAAGTTATATTTATATACAAATTATAAATATGGAAATATTAAAAAAAACGGGAGCAATTAAATATATATAACGGTAAAAAGTGTGCACAATTTTAATTTTGTTTACATTATTTTTCGATAAAATGCTCATACTTTGGTAAGATTTTTTGTAATATGCACGTACATATGTACATACATATAAAATTATTGAATAGGCTTATGCATAGTACATTGTATAATAAATTGAAGTTATCAAATTTTATAGCAATTGCATTAAAAAATTTGCAGATTGCACGTAATAAATAATATGCATATTTTTCATTAATTTACTTCATTATTGTGTGTATATTAAGCTTGTTTATCACATTAATTATCGTTGCCAATTAGGATATTTCATGATTAATTTCATACGAGTAGGATAATATACAAGTTACGATATTAGGGTATGTGCAAGTATATATGGGTAGGTAATTTTTTCACACGCCCTTAACTATTATTTATTGTAAAATATATGTATGTACATATACATACATATACTATATTATGATTATTCAGTTTTTCTGGATTTAAAATATAAAATAAGAAGTAGGGCTGCTAATATTTTTATTAACATAATTATAGTCAACAAACATAAGTATGCAATTTATTAAAAAGAAATTAAAAGCTTGTCAAAAACTTAGGAACCTGCAAAATTTTTTATTTTAACAAGCCTTATACAGTTTTTTAAAACTGTGTTCTAAATCATTCTTAGTTAAGTAGCTAAGGTATGTATTTATACTTACGCTATTGACTATAACAAAAAAATAACTAAAACAACAATAAATAGCGCTACAATTTTATGCATCTATAGATCAGGTCTATTTTTATACGCAGGTAGGTACCTACTACCAATAAATGCAAATTATATTACAAAATTAAATGTGTTAAATTCAAATTGCTAATACAACAATCTTAATAATGATCAATAAATTAAAAGTTATAACAGATCAAAGACCGTATTCATTAACAGGTGTTATTATTAATTAACCTCACTAGAAAAATACATTCTACATAAAAAAACAGTTATATTAAGTTATTATTAAAATTTTATAAAAAATTATTTATTGATTATGAAAAGAAAATAAAATATCTGTAAATAACTAAATAAAATATTTTTTTGTGATACCTATAAATAAATGAATGAGTAAAAATCAATTATACAAAGAATTATTAAATTGCTTGTGCAGTAAACTTTCGTTATTTTTATATTTTTTAACGATTTTCTAATCTAATTTGAACACCATATTCAGCTTTAAGGGTCAAAACGCTTGCTAAAACTGGATCATAATCAAATTTACCCAAATTTTCATAATTTCCATTGACATTTAAACATTCGTCATTTGGTGGTAAAATTATAAAATTTCTCACAATATGTGAAACAATTGATTTCATTTCTAGCATTGCAAACTTTTGTCCAATACAATTTCTTGGCCCAGCACTAAATGGTACATATTCAAATGGATTTGTTTTCTCCCGGTCACTATTAAATCGTTCTGGATCAAATTTATATGGATCAGGAAAGTATTCTTTCTTGTATCCCATCGCAAAAACAAATAATAATAATGTTGAGCCCGCCGGTATTATATTTCCATCTGCATTATAATAATAATAATTAAATAATAGAATTAAAAAACAAATTAAGTTACTCATATTAACGGTCTCATTAGTTTTTCTACCAATCAAAGGTACACTGGGATAAAGCCTTTGAGCTTCTTTAATAACCATCTCTAAATATTTCATACCTTGTACATCTTGATAGGACGGATCAATATTTTTAAGCTCATTTCCAAAAAGTAGTTTTTGTTCCTCATAAACTTTTTGCTTTCAAAATAAAATAATGTTTTAAAAAAACTAATTATAAATACATATAAAAGTAAAATAATAATAAAGGTTAGGTATATGAAAAATACAAGAAAACTAATTAAAATAACTAGAATTAATTTTTTACTTGAATTTCGGGATGTCTTGAGAGTAAATAAATTGTAAAGGTAATTCCAGAAGTTGTCGTATCGTGACCCTGCAATAAATTATGATAAATCCGCATTGTTACAAATATGTTTTTTAATATTTAAATCTTTAAATTGCCGAATTATAGATAATATAGATTAATAATATACCTCAAACATAAATGTTTGAACCTCTTCATAAATTTCTTCATTTGTTAGGGGTTTATCATCTATCGTTGATGTTAATAATGTATCTAAAAATACTTGTTTCCTTTTGCCAATTGTGTCAGAAGAATCTAAATTTTCTTCAGTACTTGAATTTTCTTCTAGTAAAATTCGTCTTTTTTCAATTACCTAAAATTTAAATTATTATTTATTTTATTATTGATATAATAAAAATATTTACATCCATTGAAAACGCTCTTAAAATATTTAATGCGTTTTTTTGCATTGAAGACTCTTTATATAAATGAAATAACATTGGAATTTGCATAAAAGGATTGAATATACGATTTTGGACGACGTAACATAAGCTGTAATTAGTATACTTTAATTAAAAATATTTAACACCATATTGAATTATTCAATTTAGCATATTGTAATATACTTACTCTTGAAAAGATTTTACAACTTGAGAATTATTATTTTCTAAAGCATTTATTGCTGTTCCCATTGCTGTTTCACAAATTACATCTAAAGTTGTATAATGAATTTTATCTTGAATATCAAATATTTCTTTTGTTGCAGCTTTCAATTTTAAATTATCAACAAATTTTTTTGATCTCTCCTTTATAACATCATGAAAATCAATCAAAATTTTAAAATGAAATGATGGTGTAATCATTTTACGATGTTTAAACCATTTTATACCAGTACTAGTTAATAAACCTTGTCCTAACCATGGATGTAGTAATTTATATGCATTAGCTTTATCAATAAGTGTATTACTGGATAAAATAAACTTTAAATTCATTATATATTATTATATTAAAAATAATAATAAATAATTTATTATTTACCTCTATGTCCTTTGCATCTGATACAATTATAAAAGGATTTCTGCCTACCCAAACTCGAAAAAGTTCATGATTATATTCATGCCAAAATTTTAAAAATGAGCTCAAGTATGCTAAAATTATAATTAATTTAATATTCTATTAGAATAAATTATATTTTATATTAAATATTATAAGTAAAGAATATTTTTTTTTAACGTTGTGCTTATCACATTTATTTTTTATTGCAAGATTCATATAAAAATATTTCAAGTAATCTAAATTTTGTTGTTTGTAGTCTATCAAATGTGTGTACGTTATGTCTATATGTATAAACACTCCTTCGTGTAATTATTCATTCAATTTCATATAATAGCTTTTCTTTATAATATACTATACTTATAGCATTTGAAGTCTTTCCTCGTTTCTCTCATTAAAATATTATAAAATATACAAAAATATTATAATTTACATTAAATAGTTGCAATAAGAATTTTAATTATCTATTTTGAATTTTATTGATTTTTAAGCTTAAATAAGCAAGGTGAAATTTAATAATCTAATATACTTAAAGATAATAAAACACACGCTATATATTTATATAATACATAAAATATTTTCATTTTAATTTATAATACATTATACATACATATAATGTTTGTGTAATGCAAGTAACTTACTTATATCCAAATGATCTCATTTTAAATAAATTTACAATGTCTTCAATCGTAGAAATTTTGAATTCTAAATCAAAATTTATGATATTAAATGAAATTTTATTTGCATAATATTTCTGTGTTATTGAAAACTTATTTTGAAAAATTTTAATTACCAAATTTATTAAAATTTATTAGCGTGATCAAAATCAAAAATATTATAATATTTAATTAAAATTTATTAGCGTGATCAAAATTAAAAATATTATAATATTAAGTTATTATATATTATAATTTTTCTTTTAATTTTCTTACCAACTGGATTTAATCCTAGTTGATGAGTATTTCCTATAATTGGTATTGGTGTAGGACCCGGAAACTTTTCTATATATTTCCATTGTATATGATATTTATATAAACAATATGTTGTTATAAATATTATTAAAAATGTTATAAGAAATACAAGCATTATTCGAAGAAAATAAATTACAAAAATTCGAAATACAAAATATTTGAATTAAAAAAAAATGAAAATTAATTCTTCCGTTCACTCTTGAACACGTCTTATCGTAACGATGTTCTTTTACTTACTGTCAATGACCGGTTTAAAAATATATAATTTTATACAATACTCGTGAGCAATAAATATTTTAAATTGTAATGATCGAAAATAATATTATGAATGGAAATCTGTGTGAATAAGAATAAAATAAAAACATAAACATGTCAGGATCTCAATAATATAGCCATTGATTAACATTGAATTCTTTCGTTCTCATTTTTAATTATTATTCTCTTTGTGATTTTTATTTAAATTTTCATTCTCTTTTTACTCTCAGCCGAAGAAAAAAATAAAAATATAATAAAATTTTTCGATTGTTTTTAAAATTTAAAACCAGCTTCTTCTCTCAGTTATTCTATGCTCTTAGTACTATTTAATTAGCGATTATGTTATAGTATTTCAAGTGCAATAGAGAGAAAAGGGTCACCATACTACAGAAAAGAGAAAAATCTTATAATTAATATTTTTTATAAAAATTTACGTTGATTATATTATTAAGCTTTAAAAAACATTTGAGCTTTTTCTGTAGGTGCGATGCAATAAAACGCTGTCATTTTGATTTTTTTTAAATTTGATCGATGTATATATTGTACGTATTTAACTTTACAATCCCGAACGATATTCAAGTTGAGTGTAAAAGGAAAGGTATAAGTATAATGTATAATATTATGCATAAAATTTTCAGAATCATACTGGATATATAAGAAAAACTAAAAATATAATTGAGAGTAGTTGAAATAGTTTACTACCAAAAAGTTGATACAATATGGCATCCCAATTCGAAAAACTAAAAAAAACAAAAGAGAAAAAGAGAAAAAAATACTAGATTTGTATACAACAATACAACTGAAAAAAACCAGTTGCATACAGTGTCTCATATACATATACATATATATACATACGTATGTATATCTATTGCATAAACATAAATTCTATAGAACAAAAAATTTAAGTTACAATAAAAACTTTTGGGGAGACTCGTTTTAATTATGTATGTACACATATTTTTACAAATTCGCAAAAAAAAAAAAAAAAATTGAACAACTCAACAAAAATAGTATCAAAAAATTTTTTCGATTTTCATTTTTCTGCTCAAATTCTATCATTTTCATTAGATTAAATAGAGAATTATGAAGTTCATTCGAATATGTCGTAGTTTTCACTATATCCCGTTTAATTACAGCGTTGAAAATATTCCCTTGGCTATTCCTAATGAAATAAGGAACCTAAGTGTTATTTATGATAACCGCTTATCATACAATAAACATATCGATTGTATGATGTCAAAGGCACTTTTACTATACTGGGTTTTACAAAAAGAAATTCATTCGAATTTTCTGATTCGTACACATTAAAAATGCTTTATCTTTTTTTGGTAAGATCAAAATTATGGAGTGCTAGTGTACGAATTGAGTCAGTTTAAAACATATTTTATTAGAGGTGTCGCAAATTCGATTGAAGATGCGGTCTTTCTTCCCTTTAAGATAGATAAATGTATGTTTTTATAAATTTCGAAAGTTTTGTTTTTAAAAGAAAGTAGGCAAGTGCAAATTAAATGCTCTAATTTGTTAAGTATAATTTCGATTCATTTGTTTTGCCATTTTAGCAAGGCCTAATAATGATTTCGTTACAAATGAGATGTATATAGATCAAACTATGCTTTTTTTACACTAAGTGTAAATTGAAAAATATTAATTAGTGTATTTAATACAATTTTGGATTTTAATTATTCATGAATCACATTTAAGAATGAAGTTGAAAAATTATTTTATGTAGTTTATAGCTATAAGTAAGTTGTATTTTTAGTTTTAAGTGAAAAATTTCTGTAAGGGTCATGCCTATAGTAGGAAATAAATAATAAATGACAACTTCTTTGAACCTGTAAATGAAGCCATAAATTTTGAATATTTAAAATTAAAATTAAAAAGAAAAACTTTTAAAAACATAAAATGCGAGTTGCAACATTTTTCTCGTTATACGTTATTTAGTAATTATGCCTGTGTAAATTATTACAAATTTTAATATGCATAATTGTTATAAAGCCCGATCAGCTGAGAATTTTAAAACTATATACACATATGAATGATTGATAATTTGAGATTTCACATATGCATGTACATACATATAAGTATAAATATTAAAAAAATTGATAAGCCAACTGCTAAAGTATCAAGTATTTTACTAAACTATTCAAGTGAATTGATTGAAAAAGTTTTTAAATGATTTTTCTAATTTTTATATACATAGGTATGTATGCACTTAAATATACGCATGTATGTGTTTACCATGTGTACTCTATATACTACATAAAAATTACAAAAATATAAGGTTAAAAAAAACTTATATGAATAACATTTATTAGTTTTTTTCAGTAGATAATACTAAGCTATTTAAGATAGTATATGGTTATAGCCAAAGTTATTTAAGATTTTACTTAGTCTCGTGCTAGCAAATATATAATTTACAATCAAAATATTGTACTTGTAAGGAAAATCAAGATTGTACAGTAATTATTATTTAGATAAATAAAATAATATTGGAATTTACTCTTGATAAGGAAATAAAAAAAAGTAAGTACATGCATACATACATGCATACGTATTTATAATTTATATTAACATAAATTTTATATAAATTTTCCAATAAACATGCGTATGTACTCGTAATAATCGCGATCGAACGAATAGATTCAATGTTTTGTGATTCTCATTGCTAAACAAGTCTATAAAATTATTAATAATATTTCTTAAAATTTTTTGTTATACGTTCTCATTACATAACTATTTCATTGCATGTTATTTTTAATTATATATTACGTACTTAAATGAAAAATAATAATAAAAAAACGTTTAAAACAAAGTATTTTTTTTTTTTTGCAAATCACTGTAAAAAACTTAATAAATTGTGTTTTAAGTGCTTTTTTTTTGTGACAATAGAAAATACTTATTATTAAACTTGTCGAAGAAAATATAGGACTTGCGTTATTTTTTTTAATACTTCCAATGAATTCGAGAAACATTTGCTTATTTCCACACGAATGACTGTTTAAAAGAACTTGTTCACTCTTTAAGATAGAAAGGTACAATTTTATACACAACCGTATATTTATTTGAAATATAAAATATTTCTCTGGAAGGGAATTTTTTGTTTACATCTTCAAAAAGTTGTAGCCCATGATAGCCTTAAAAATTGAATATGTTTTTAATTTATTCAATAAAACTCAGAAATTTTCTTCACCTAACAAAAATTTTTTTTACTCAAATTTTTAATATCGCTTTTATGTTAGGTGTGAGAGTCTACAATTTTATCAGTTTCGAGACAATTATATAATAATAAGTGCCTAATTTTATTCAAAATTTTTAAAAGGGAAATGTCCTAATTTACAAACCATAAAATCGATTTGTATTTATTTTCTTATACATTTTGCTGTCATGAAGGTTACAGTACAAATTTTTGTGTTAAAATTTCATTTTGTGCGCAATCTAATTTATATTGTAGTAATTTCTCTAAACCTATAACTGAATCATAATACATATGTGATTTCAGTTCGTAATAAAACAAGTTCTAAAATAACAAAAAATTTTGATTTTTGAGTCGAACATTTTAAATTTTTATTTTTAAAACAAAATTTTAATATTTTAAAGTACATAAACGTTTTATATTTTTTTAATAAAAAATTTTTTTTTTCTTTTTAACGATTTTCCAATTTAATTTTTAAACCGTATTCAGCTTTAAGGGTTAAAACCACTGCCAAAACTGGGTCATAATCAAATTTTCCCAAATTTTCATAATCTCCATTAACTTTTAAACATTCATCACTTGGTGGTAAAATTTTAAAATTTCTTACAACATGTGAGACAATTGATTTCATTTCTAGCATGGCAAATTTTTGACCAATACAATTTCTTGGACCAGCACTAAATGGTACATATTCAAATGGATTTGCCTTTTCTCGATCAATACTAAATCTTTCTGGATCAAATTTATACGGGTCAGGAAAATATTTCTCATTATATCCCATTGCAAAAAGGAATAATGATAAAGCTGTATTTTTTGGTATGATTTTTCCATCTAATTAATGAAAAATAAATTAAGCATTAAATTAATTTTAGATTTAATCAGCTTACTTAATTCAATAGTTTCAGTTGTTTCTCGTGCAATTAATGGTACACTAGGATATAATCGTTGACATTCTTTAATAACCATATCCAAATATTTCATGTTCTGTATATCCTGATAAGATGGATCGAAATTTTTAAGGTCATCGCCAAAGAGTGATTTTTGTTCTTCATAAACTTTTTTCTATAACAATCAAAATTGCATATAAGTGTTATGGAAATATTTTCAAAATAAAAATATATTTGGGAAAAATAAGGGGAAGTGAATATTTGAATAAATTTTGTTCAAACCTGGATTTCGGGATGTCTTGATAAAAGAAAAATTGCGAATGTAATTCCCGAAGAAGTTGTGTCATGCCCCTTTAAAAAATAAATATTTAAAAAAATTATAAAACACATTAATTGGTAGGCCATTATATTTAAATTAACTATTATTTTATACCCAACTTTACCTCAAACATAAAGGTTTGAACTTCTTCAAATATTTCTTGATTCGTTAGCGGTTTTCCATCAATAGTAGATGTCAATAAAGTATCCAAAAATACTTGTTTCTTTTTACCAATACCATCCGAATTAGTGTTTCCATTTGCTTCCTCACTCATAATTAGATTTCGGCGCTTTTCTATAACCTGAAAAAAAAAAACAATCATATAAACTTTAATGTTTCATTTTCTTAATTTAAAATATAATCTTACATCCATTGAAAAAGATTTCAATATCTTCAATGCTTTTTCTTGCATTCCATGCTCTTTATATAAACGGAATAATATTGGATTACCCATAAATGGACTAAATGTTCGATTTTCTATAACATAACATAAACTGAAAATCAATAATATAAAATTTTTAACATAAATGTTTCAAGAAAGTTTTAAATTGTCATTTTCAACTTACTCTTGAAAGGCTCTTACAACTTCTGAATTATTATTTTCTAATGCATTTATTGCTGTTCCCATTGCTGTTTCACAAATAACATCTAATGTTGTATAATGTACTTTTTCTTGTATATCAAAAATTTCTTTTGTATCAGCTTTTAATTTTAAATGTTTAACAAATATTTTTGACCTTTCTTTCATTATATCGTGAAAATCGACTAAAATTTTAAAATGAAATGATGGTGTAATCATTTTACGATGTTTGAACCATTTAACGCCATTGGCTGTTAATAAGCCTTCACCTAACCATGGATGTAAAAGTTCATATGTAGAGGCTTTTTGTAATAATGTGTTACTTGACAGAACAACCTAAAAAATTGTATGTAATAAAGAAATTTGGTTTTTGAATATTTTTCTTTTGTGTTTTGTATAAAATATGTAATTTACTTCAACTTCTTTAGGATCTGAAATAACTATATAAGGCTGATTTCCAATCCAAATACGAAAAGTCTCATGATTATATTTAGAATTGTATTTCATAAATGAACTTAAGTATTCTAAAAAGATAAAAAAATTTTACATGTTATCAATAAATTAATGTTATATTTGTAAATATGTAATTTCTAAATTTTTTTTAAGCAGAATTAAATCGCTTCTTTTTCATAAATTTTATGATCCGCAGATAAATTAAAATTGCATTCCAATAATTAAAATTAAATTAAAAATAATTAAAAATAAAACTCTTTAGGAGTGTGATTTTTAACTTAATATTTAATTATGCAGTAATATAATATTGCATAAAATTAGGCGAACGTATCAAACACATAAAGAAAATTTTATACTTTATAATTATGAATAATATTTTAGAGTATTTCTTCAATATTTATTTAAATAAATCAATTCTCTTAATTCAGTAAAATTCTGTTAATCTTTAAATTGAACCTTATATACATACATACGTATTAAAGAATGATTTGTTATAATATCAATACTTAATGAAATTAAGTTTTGACCCTTACATTAATTAATGAATCGGTAAGCGAATAAAGGGGTTAACTTACATTTGCATCTTAAGACTTTTTTTAATTAACAAATTGTAAAAATATTAATTTTTTTGTTACTAAACTCCTCTATGTGCCCTGTCAATCTTGTCTTCTATTAAGTTTCTAGCTATAAGAGTAATCACAGTTGAAAATATATGAAATTTAATGAGGTTCTATCCGAGCAGTTCGATTTTCTTCAAAATGTTAGTTAAGCCCTTTGTCCATTTACCACTTTTTTAATTATTAATTACTTTAAATAAACTCAATTTTTAAAATTATAAAAAGTAATATGATCGAAAAATTAAATTACAATTAAATGTTACTTTTATTTAACATTATTAATATTAATATTAAATATTACTAAAAGATTTTCAAGAAAATTTTATTTCAAAGACATTGTTCGTTTAAATACACAACGTCATGGTAAAAAATAAAATTTAAATGATTTTAAAATTCTAATCATAAGTTTTCTAATCGAAAGCTTTTTGTGATTATCGTGTAATATGGTACGTCTTAGATATGTAAATAGGAAGGTAAATAATTATGAGATAGAATGAGAATTTATTTGTTTTTTTTATTTGGAAAAGTGGTAATAATGAGCTTGTCAAAAGAATACAAAAATTCTAAATTTTATTATATTTATTTTTTTTTTACTTTGATAATTTGATTGTTTGATTAAATTTAATTTGATTGTTCTTTTATATCGTCTATCTCTCAGATTTACAATTAATTCGAAAATCTAGTTTTGAGAAACTTTATAAGATTGTTATTAAATAAAAGTTACTGTTTACATATACCACAAAATCTGGGAGGGTAGGGGGTCGTGCAAAATTTTAAAAAATTTTCAATTTTTTGACAAGGTAGGGGGTCGTGCAAAATTTTAAAAAAATTTCAATTTTTTGACAAGGTAGGGGGTCGTGCAAAATTTTAAAAAAATTTCAATTTTTTGACAAGGTAGGGGGTCGTGCAAAATTTTAAAAAATTTTCAATTTTTTGACAAGGTAGGGGGTCGTGCAAAATTTTAAAAAATTTTCAATTTTTTGACAAGGTAGAGGGTCGTGCAAAATTTTAAAAAATTTTCAATTTTTTGACAAGGTAGGGGGTCGTGTAAAATTTTAAAAAAATTTCAATTTTTTGACAAGGTAGGGGGTCGTGCAAAATTTTAAAAAAATTTCAATTTTTTGACAAGGTAGGGGGTCGTGCAAAATTTTAAAAAATTTTCAATTTTTTGATAAGGTCGTGCAAAATTTTAAAAAAATTTCAATTTTTTGACAAGGTAGGGGGTCGTGCAAAATTTTAAAAAAATTTCAATTTTTTGACAAGGTAGGGGGTCGTGCAAAATTTTAAAAAATTTTCAATTTTTTGACAAGGTAGGGGGTCGTGCAAAATTTTAAAAAAATTTCAATTTTTTGACAAGGTAGGGGGTCGTGCAAAATTTTAAAAAATTTTCAATTTTTTGACAAGGTAGGGGGTCGTGCAAAATTTTAAAAAAATTTCAATTTTTTGACAAGGTAGGGGGTCGTGCAAAATTTTAAAAAATTTTCAATTTTTTGATAAGGTCGTGCAAAATTTTAAAAAAATTTCAATTTTTTGACAAGGTAGGGGGTCGTGTAAAATTTTAAAAAAATTTCAATTTTTTGACAAGGTAGGGGGTCGTGCAAAATTTTAAAAAATTTTCAATTTTTTGACAAGGTAGGGGGTCGTGCAAAATTTTAAAAAAATTTCAATTTTTTGACAAGGTAGGGGGTCGTGCAAAATTTTAAAAAATTTTCAATTTTTTGATAAGGTAGGGGGTCGTGCAAAATTTTAAAAAATTTTCAATTTTTTGATAAGGTAGGGGGTCGTGCAAAATTTTAAAAAATTTTCAATTTTTTGACAAGGTAGGGGGTCGTGCAAAATTTTAAAAAAATTTCAATTTTTTGACAAGGTAGGAGGTCGTGCAAAATTTTAAAAAATTTTCAATTTTTTGACAAGGTAGGGGGTCGTGCAAAATTTTAAAAAATTTTCAATTTTTTGACAAGGTAGGGGGTCGTGCAAAATTTTAAAAAAATTTCAATTTTTTGACAAGGTAGGGGGTCGTGCAAAATTTTAAAAAAATTTCAATTTTTTGACAAGGTCGTGCAAAATTTTAAAAAAATTTCAATTTTTTGACAAGGTAGGGGGTCGTGCAAAATTTTAAAAAAATTTCAATTTTTTGACAAGGTAGGGGGTCGTGCAAAATTTTAAAAAAATTTCAATTTTTTGACAAGGTAAGGGGGTCGTGCAAAATTTTAAAAAAATTTCAATTTTTTGACAAGGTAGGGGGTCGTGCAAAATTTTAAAAAATTTTCAATTTTTTGACAAGGTAGGGGGTCGTGCAAAATTTTAAAAAATTTTCAATTTTTTGACAAGGTAGGGGGTCGTGCAAAATTTTAAAAAATTTTCAATTTTTTGACAAGGTAAGGGGTCGTGCAAAATTTTAAAAAAATTTCAATTTTTTGACAAGGTAGGGGGTCGTGCAAAATTTTAAAAAATTTTCAATTTTTTGACAAGGTAGGGGGTCGTGCAAAATTTTAAAAAATTTTCAATTTTTTGACAAGGTAGGGGGTCGTGCAAAATTTTAAAAAAATTTCAATTTTTTGACAAGGTAGAGGGTCGTGCAAAATTTTAAAAAATTTTCAATTTTTTGACAAGGTAGGGGGTCGTGTAAAATTTTAAAAAAATTTCAATTTTTTGACAAGGTAGGGGGTCGTGCAAAATTTTAAAAAATTTTCAATTTTTTGACAAGGTAGGGGGTCGTGCAAAATTTTAAAAAAATTTCAATTTTTTGACAAGGTAGGGGGTCGTGCAAAATTTTAAAAAATTTTCAATTTTTTGACAAGGTAGGGGGTCGTGCAAAATTTTAAAAAAATTTCAATTTTTTGACAAGGTAGGGGGTCGTGCAAAATTTTAAAAAATTTTCAATTTTTTGACAAGGTAGGGGGTCGTGCAAAATTTTAAAAAAATTTCAATTTTTTGACAAGGTAGGGGGTCGTGCAAAATTTTAAAAAAATTTCAATTTTTTGACAAGGTAGGGGGTCGTGCAAAATTTTAAAAAATTTTCAATTTTTTGACAAGGTAGGGGGTCGTGCAAAATTTTAAAAAATTTTCAATTTTTTGATAAGGTAGGGGGTCGTGCAAAATTTTAAAAAATTTTCAATTTTTTGACAAGGTAGGGGGTCGTGCAAAATTTTAAAAAATTTTCAATTTTTTGACAAGGTAGGGGGTCGTGCAAAATTTTAAAAAATTTTAAATTTTTTGACAAGGTAGGGGGTCGTGCAAAATTTTAAAAAATTTTCAATTTTTTGACAAGGTAGGGGGTCGTGCAAAATTTTAAAAAAATTTCAATTTTTTGACAAGGTAGGGGGTCGTGCAAAATTTTAAAAAAATTTCAATTTTTTGACAAGGTAGGGGGTCGTGCAAAATTTTAAAAAATTTTCAATTTTTTGACAAGGTAGGGGGTCGTGCAAAATTTTAAAAAATTTTCAATTTTTTGACAAGGTAGGGGGTCGTGCAAAATTTTAAAAAATTTTCAATTTTTTGACAAGGTAGGGGGTCGTGCAAAATTTTAAAAAATTTTCAATTTTTTGACAAGGTAGGGGGTCGTGCAAAATTTTAAAAAATTTCAATTTTTTGACAAGGTAGGGGGTCGTGCAAAATTTTAAAAAATTTTCAATTTTTTGACAAGGTAGGGGGTCGTGCAAAATTTTAAAAAAATTTCAATTTTTTGACAAGGTAGGGGGTCGTGCAAAATTTTAAAAAATTTTCAATTTTTTGACAAGGTAGGGGGTCGTGCAAAATTTTAAAAAATTTTCAATTTTTTGACAAGGTAGGGGGTCGTGCAAAATTTTAAAAAATTTTCAATTTTTTGACAAGGTAGGGGGTCGTGCAAAATTTTAAAAAATTTTCAATTTTTTGACAAGGTAGGGGGTCGTGCAAAATTTTAAAAAATTTTCAATTTTTTGACAAGGTAGGGGGTCGTGCAAAATTTTAAAAAAATTTCAATTTTTTGACAAGGTAGGGGGTCGTGCAAAATTTTAAAAAAATTTCAATTTTTTGACAAGGTAGGGGGTCGTGCAAAATTTTAAAAAATTTTCAATTTTTTGACAAGGTAGGGGGTCGTGCAAAATTTTAAAAAATTTTCAATTTTTTGACAAGGTAGGGGGTCGTGCAAAATTTTAAAAAATTTCAATTTTTTGACAAGGTAGGGGGTCGTGCAAAATTTTAAAAAATTTTCAATTTTTTGACAAGGTAGGGGGTCGTGCAAAATTTTAAAAAATTTTCAATTTTTTGACAAGGTAGGGGGTCGTGCAAAATTTTAAAAAATTTCAATTTTTTGACAAGGTAGGGGGTCGTGCAAAATTTTAAAAAATTTTCAATTTTTTGACAAGGTAGGGGGTCGTGCAAAATTTTAAAAAATTTTCAATTTTTTGACAAGGTAGGGGGTCGTGCAAAATTTTAAAAAATTTTCAATTTTTTGACAAGGTAGGGGGTCGTGCAAAATTTTAAAAAATTTTCAATTTTTTGACAAGGTAGGGGGTCGTGCAAAATTTTAAAAAATTTCAATTTTTTGACAAGGTAGGGGGTCGTGCAAAATTTTAAAAAATTTTCAATTTTTTGACAAGGAAGGGGGTCGTGCAAAATTTTAAAAAATTTTCAATTTTTTGACAAGGTAGGGGGTCGTGCAAAATTTTAAAAAAATTTCAATTTTTTGACAAGGTAGGGGGTCGTGCAAAATTTTAAAAAATTTTCAATTTTTTGACAAGGTAGGGGGTCGTGCAAAATTTTAAAAAAATTTCAATTTTTTGACAAGGTAGGGGGTCGTGCAAAATTTTAAAAAATTTTCAATTTTTTGACAAGGTAGGGGGTCGTGCAAAATTTTAAAAAAATTTCAATTTTTTGACAAGGTAGGGGTCGTGCAAAATTTTAAAAAAATTTCAATTTTTTGACAAGGTAGGGGGTCGTGCAAAATTTTAAAAAATTTTCAATTTTTTGACAAGGTAGGGGGTCGTGCAAAATTTTAAAAAAATTTCAATTTTTTGACAAGGTAGGGGGTCGTGCAAAATTTTAAAAAATTTTCAATTTTTTGACAAGGTAGGGGGTCGTGCAAAATTTTAAAAAAATTTCAATTTTTTGACAAGGTAGGGGGTCGTGCAAAATTTTAAAAAAATTTCAATTTTTTGACAAGGTAGGGGGTCGTGCAAAATTTTAAAAAAATTTCAATTTTTTGACAAGGTAGGGGTCGTGCAAAATTTTAAAAAAATTTCAATTTTTTGACAAGGTAGGGGGTCGTGCAAAATTTTAAAAAATTTTCAATTTTT